AAGGCCACCCATCTACGTCCTGAGGACCTCGCTGCCACCGTCCAAGCTCGCTTGGCCCCGGCAGATGAACCTTAGGATTAAAGGGTGGGCTCAGTTCCGCGCACACTGTGTCTCACCTAAAAAATCCAATGCGCAGGCTGGAAGGTGTGAAGACCTTCCCCGGATCTTTGCTCGCGAAGACTGGCCATTATTATTTATTAGGCAGAGAAACAGGAGTACTGCTTAAAAAAGTTAAAAATTGTAAAAAGAAGGTAAGATGGGTCACAACAGTATCTTCATAAGAACAAGATAAAATCAAGCAGGGTCAATTCCAGGGGACGTAGGAGGAACAGAAGACAGCCACAATGACTTTGCAAGGAGATAATACAGGACTGGGCTGCCTACCTATCTCCTGCACATCTCCATGGACATTCTGATTTTCCAGCAAAATCTTCAGTCCAGAATATTTTTGGGTCTTCAATTCATCATCAAGGATAGCAGGTCAACATTAGGGCAAGTGGTGTGGTGGTTTTTGTTGTTGTTGTTGTTTTTAAATTATTATTTTTATTTTCATTTTTTATTTTTATTTTGTTTGTTTTGTTTTGTTTATTTTTTAATTTTTTTTTTTTCTCTGTTAATAGAATAGTCCATACAACAGTTTGGTACAATTTTGTATGTCATTTAAACATTACATACCGTTCTGTTCCAGCTTGTTTGTAAGAGGAAAAAACAGCTCCCGAAGTTAGTTTTCTGCATACAAGAGCAACCACATTTGCCCAACATCTGGAAACATGGGAATATGTTAGGCTATCAGCAATTAAAATTTCCCAAGGTATTTGTTTTTTCCTGGAGGCTTTTCTTTCATCTCCATGGCAAGGTCTCTCCTGGTGCTTCAAGAAGGAATGGTCTTCTATGTTTCAGAGATGCAGTATCTATTTCACCCTGTTCTGAATAAAGACATTCCAGTGGATGAAGGCTGTCAGTGCAAAACTCATCAGTGGTAACTAAACAGCAAGTAAAAAATATGTACAATTATTTGGAAAAAACCCACAATAAAAACACCTAATGGAACAAATGAAAAATCCAGGTGGCAAACCAAAAAAATGCAACTTCTCCAGAAAAATGAGAATATTTTTCAAAGGGATGACGTTTTAAACGATGCGGGTATTCTGAGTCACTAAAAAGTTTTCAAGGGAAAAGAAATCAAACATTTTTTTTTCCTGAGGAAAAGTTTTCAATAATAATTAATAAAACAACCTAAAAGGCAGAATCTAGAATAGCTAACTTTAGTGTAAATCTCCTGATATAATTTTAGATACACATTTCTCATTTTTGTCAGTATTTAGGTCAAGATGTTTGTGATTCTCGAAATGTATTTTGCTGGGCCTTATTAAGTCTACCACAGTTGAGCATTGCTCCCACAGTTCTGAAAAAGTGGTATCTCTCGCTACTGCAGATAGAGAGGTGAGAAATCTTCAAGAACGTCCTTTCTAAATGCTGAAGTACCACAGTGGTCCAGAAACTACTGATGTTCTGAAATCTTTTGAGGTGCTGCTGAGCAGTAAGAGTGGGACATCAAGCAGGCCTGTGTTCACAGGAACCATGAATTCTTTACACAGAAGTAAAGAGCTTTTGATGGACTCTTCTGAATTGTAGGATGGCCGAAGTTGAGGGGATAAGTAATAAGGGTTGTCATACCGAAGTTTTATGACAGATGAAACCACGTTTCAAAAAACTCAGTATTTTCTTTATTATACAGTCTACTGCTTACACCTCGATTCTGACAAAATACAATGAGTTCGAATTCCCTTTAACAGGAATCGCCATAATTAAAGCAGTTAATCTTAATAAGCCTGGAGGACATAAAAACATCTTAATGAGATCATCTTACTTGGAAGGGGAAGGAAAATCTGTAATATTGCAGTTATACTTCAAACGGTGCTTTAAAAATCCACAGAAAACTGAATCATTAATAAATTATTTTTTTCTGGCAAGAAAATCACTGTTTTCTCATCTGAATTTGGAGCACCAGACTGGGCTTCTCAGCTCCAGCCCGAGGACTGTTGACACAGGCCCCAAACTATCATGGTGTGGGCACTGCAGCTGCATCCCAGTGAGGAGGGCAGGGGTCTTTGCCAGGATGGAGAAGGGAGGACCAGCCCTGTGGCTCCATCAACCAACCAAAGCCTAACCGTGGTGCTACACAAAAGTTGGGTCTGCTTATTAATTAAGCTTTTAAATACCAAAGAAATGGAAATTGCTGGTGAAAACAGGAATGAAGAATTTAGCTGCTCATAGTTTTGAACTGGCTTATTTTTAAAAGGACTTTGCTGAAAGCCAAATAGAGAAAAAATACAAGATAAGCAAAGGTCAGTCAGACACTGAAAGGAAACTGAATCATAGAATATGCTGAGTTAGAAGGGACCCACCAGGATCATTGAGTCTAACCCTGCACAGGACCACCCCCAAGAGTCACACCATGTGCCTGAGAATATCATCCAAATGCTCTTGAGCTCTGTCAGCCTTGGTGCTGTGACCACGGCCCTGGGGAGCCTGCTCAGTGCCCGATCACCTTCTGGGGGAAGAACATTTTCCTGATATCCAGTCTAACCCTCTTCTGACACAACTTCAGGCCATTCCCTTGGGTCCTGTCCCTGGTCCCCATAGAGCAGAGATCAGTGCCTGCCCCTCCTTTTCCCCTAGTGAGGAAGTTGTAACTGCAATGAGGTCTCCCCTCAGTCTTCTCCTGCTGAACACACCAAGTGCTCTCAGCCACTTCTAATAAGGCCTCCACTTCAGACCCTTTCCCATACTCACTGTCCCTCCTTTGGACCCTCTCTAATAGCTTAATGTCTGTATCATCTTCCTTTTGCTAAAAAGAATACTTCACATGTGTTTTGGTACCCCTTACCTGGGAAATCAACATTAAAAGTATTAACCTTAAAAAAATATACAGCGCAAATTACATAACAATAAAAAATCTGCTTAAACAAACATTAAAATTTGCTGATTCTATGCAGAAAATGGTTAAGACATCTCCAAGCAGTTCCCTAAACTAGGATCAAATGGTGCAGTCGTAAAGCAATTAAACAGTACAATGAGCTATCATTTACTACTCTGACCATTAAAGATTTGTCAGGAAATTTCATGAACAAATAGAGAAATTTGTTATTTCAGCAAGAGAAACTTCTACCAGTGAAGGCATGCTGCACATCTGACAAGTAACTTTAAAAATTAGGAGCTCTGGCACATGAAAAGAAAAAAGCACAAAATTCAAAATTCTAATTAAATGCAGTAAAGCAGGTAATGGAATGTGCTGTATGTGTAAGAACTCTTTCTTCAAATGCTGCAATTCTTTAAGTACCTGCACTTGATAGTACTGAATTGTTCCCTATTATAACTTAATTATTTGTTTTATTGCTATGCTTTCCTTCTGAAATCCATGGACTCTAGGTGAACCGAACCAATGTGCAGAAACTGGGTTTGTCTTAGTTTAACAAAATTACAACTTAGAAATTAAGAAACTTCAGGTGGAAGTGTGGAAAAGAACAGTTTTTAAATAACAAAATCTGAATAAACAACAAATCAAAAGTGCAATCAAAACTTTCACAAGAAACACAATAAAGTCACAATTCCCCAGGTGTGTGGGAGGGAAGAAAACCCACGGCAACTGGGGGCAGGAAAGAAAGGGGAAAGGCAGGACTGTCCTGGCAATCCAACAGCTGCTTGCAGCCACGTGTGCCCACAGCAGCCAGCAGCTGATGGCTTCACAGCCAGCAATGTAAGAGTCCTTTTTCCCACAGCCAGTCATGAAGGCAGAATACCTAGCTCTGTCACCCCAGAAATGGGAATAGTCCCATAATGGGGTGTGGACCATGCTGTTGTACATGCTGTGTTTATTCATTACAGAGACCACTGTTTCTCTGTTTCCTTCAAAGTGCAATGATTCCAAGAAATCGGTGTATATGGGTGGCCCTTGCTGTGAAAGGCTCCACCACATCTGTGACGTACACCTGATGTCGTCAGGGTTGTGGCTGGGTTGCCCATTCTTGTCAAAAATTACCTCTAACAGTGCCATTTCTCTCAGGCATTGGATACCTTCCACCATGGTCTTCCAGGTCCTCTCATGGCAGTGCTGCTGCAGGAAGTCTCTGTAAACAAACTTCTCTCTCACACCTGTTAGAAGTTGCTCCCAGGGAGAAAGGGGCTTTGACTCCCTCACCAATGCTTGCTCCATACCCACATCCTGGGCCCAGATACCTTGCTTTGTTGTTATCAAGTGACAAGCCTTCACTCACAAGGTTCCACACTTTAATCAGCCAGGTCAAAACGGGCTTGTCTTGGCGTCGAGTAACGTTGTTCCGCATATTGCAGAGCTAGTTATATGACAGAGGTTCAGTGATGATCTCAGGCTCTAGGTCCTCTGCTGGTTGTAAAGGCTTTGGCTCCCCATCCTTGTTAACTGGACATATTGACTTGGCTTTATACTTCTTCCTCTGCACTCGGGCCACTTCTGCTGGCTGTGACTTTGCTTCTGGTGTGACTGGGGACTGAGCACTTGTGATGTCTATTGGTTTCTCTGCTCCCCTCTCTTTCCCCTGTGACTGGAGGTGGTGCTGCTCCATCCATACCATGGTGTGGTAAGCATGGGCTGAGGTCCAGCACATTGCTATGAGCTGTCCATCTCCGGAATTTATGGACCTATGTTCTTTCAGGTACTTAGCAACCTTACAGAGGATCTGTATTTGGTCAGGGGAGAGCTTCCAAACAATTGGGGGAGAACATTCCTTCAGCACCTGGCCTATCTTTTCCCAGGCTCCTATCCAGTCAGAGTGATTTATGTCTACGGCAGGCTGTTGGGCCATGATGGGTGATTGGACTCTCAGGCTGTTGCACAGTGTCAGGCTATTGGGCAGGTTCCTGGGTAGTGTCTGGGTTACATCTTGGGGCAGTTACCAAAGACAACCTCACCCTGTCTCTAAATGCTGGGTAGGCCACACTGAATGAACATGGCAAAAACATCATCAAGAATAGAATATCTTTAATGTCCAGGAAAAAAATTAATCCTTCAGAACCTACTGTGGGAGGGCCATATGAGAAGTGGGTGAAGGGTTGGGAAAAAGCATTTGCCTGCATTCCTCCCTCAAAATAGGTACCATTATCAGTAGAACTCCGAAAACAGGAACCTGGGTTGTGGTAGTAATGCATCCATTTATATATATATTCCAAAAGAGAACTACAGGGCCAGAATTTTTCAGCCACTGGTACCAACTTACAAACTTTACAGCAGCCACAACTATTGCAGCGATGGTGTCCCTCCTTAAGAAGTGATCTATAAATGGAAAGACCACACACACAGCCAAATTCCAAAAGAAGTTGGACTATATGATACTTAGTGGTGTTTCTATATGCAATACACAGGTGATTAAACAAAAGGGTTTATTCCTTTTCCACTTTTCCTCTAGTCAAGCCCCACGCTGGGCACCAATAGTTTAACAAGGTTGCAACTTAGAAATTAAGAAACTTCAGGTGGAAGTGTGGAAAAGAACAGCTTTCAAATAACAAAATCTGAATAAACAACAAATAGTGCAACCAAAGCTTTCAGAAGAAACAAAACAAAGTTCCCCAGGTAGAGGAAGAAACCCACGGCAACCAGGGGTGGGGGGGAGGGAAAGGAGGGGGGAAGGCAGGACTGTCCCAGCAGTTCAGCAGCTGCTCACAGCCACATGTGCTTCTGTGTTCGCAGGCGCTGCCTTGCAGCCAGCAATGAAAGAGTCCTTTTTCCCACAGGCAGTCCCGAAGGCAGAATACCTCCTTGGACAAAAAAACCTCCTGAGCTGTACCCCTGGCAACTGCTCTTCCAGGGAAACTCTCCCTTCTCCCGACTTCCGTGCTACCCTGCCTGTGTGGCTTCGTTCTGTCCCCCCTCCTCCCTGACTCCCCCCATCCTGGAGGAAACAGATGGGGGGCGGGAGGGTGTGAGGGGAAAGCCGGACCCTAGGGAAAAAAAATTTCAACATCTCTTTTCAAACCTATGACAGGGTTGAAAGTGAATTAATTCAGTAATATTTCAGAAATGTTTTTTACTGTAAAATAGTGTCTAGTCACAAAAAGCCCACAACTTATTAGTGACAAAGAATTTTGAACATCATAAATATCAGTGTTGCACATGTTCAGCTATATTAAAAACAACATTCAACAACAAAAATTGTCTTCAAATGAACTTAGAAACTACACAAGAGTCTTCTAAATAAAGTAAAAAAAAAATCCCCTTTTGTATTGTTTTCTTAAGAGTCAGCACAGGAAAACTTCCAATCTTCCGAAAGCTGCACATTATCTTACAGCACATGGGAGAAGGACAGGAACAAGAATTGCAAGGTAAAGGGTTTTTATCTGCATATGCAGTGTACAAACCCTTGGCGGGAACACAGTGCAGTAAAATCTCACTACTCAGAAAGCATTCCATTAGATTTGTCCTCAAACAAAAAGATCCATGTCAGTGGCATGTCTCATCATGAAAAATGTTTAGACAGAATGAGTAGGAAGCTGAAGCCACTATTAAAATACAAAGGATAAAATTGCTGTAGAAATCTAAAGTATACATTGCTCAATATTGCTTATTTACAAGGTTATTATTCAAAGGTCACTCACCACTGAAATTAAGTGTATTTCACAAATCAATCTTTTTTGGTCTTAATCCAATAAATACTGTTTGTATCAACACACTGCCACGTTAAGAACACATGATCTTTTATATCCAGATTAACTTTATAATGTTTTTTTTCTGTTCAACTGTAGTGAGCAGCATTGCTCACTTGTTGACTTGTGTTAGCTTCAGCAAATTAAATGTTAAAATTAAATGGTTGAAACATAGCCCTAATTCCTTAACCTAACATGTGACTAAAAAAAATTTCCAAAGGAACGAACATGGTGATGCAGGGTTGTTATCTAGGAAAATCTTAACAGTTTCTGAGGACTCAGCAAACAAATACTAGGACAATTAAAAGTCTTCATGCTGTTAAATTTAGCTAAGAATTATTTCCCATGCTTCTGCAGCTTATGAAAGCATGGGATTATAAGAAAGGCTCATTTAATATGTTTTATAGAGACACTGTTATCAAGAACTTTAGCAACTAGAAGATCTCCAAATCATGAGCATTATCAATTTCAATAATGTCTTCAGGTTCCATCTTTGCTTCATGATGCCCCTCCTGCAGATCATCCAGGGAAGCGAGAGCCTCATTTGTATCACTAGCAAAAGTCTCACGAGATGCATCATCATATTCCTGCAGGTTGAGGCCTTTAATGGCTTTCTTCATTTTCTTCCCTAGAACTTGCATTCTCCTCTTCTTGGCAGCTTTTTTGTTTTCATACTCCTTTTGGTTTTCCAGATAGAATATTTCCTTGAGAGTAAAACAAAACAAAAAAAAAGACAAACAAATAAAAAATTGGCACATTCATTTTACTATATTTCCTAAAATGTAAAGTAAAAAGAAAAATTTATTAGAAATACTGGTCAATATTTAACTAAGATACATGCTTTATTTATAGGAGAAGTACGAGACTAGACTGCACTTAGGGAGAATTCCCCATAAATAATTTTATTACATAACTTCTCAGCAACCTGAAAGTATACGTATCAGTAAGTTTTCATTTTGAATTTTGGTGCTGGTACAAAACCGGGAGGAATGGGTGGCAGACCAGATGTTTGTGCTGCCATAATAGAGGGACCTGTAAAGAAAATATGACCAAAGACTCTAAGACAACTCGAGAAAACTTTCCCCTACAATTGAAATTTGAGTCTACATCTCATGATCTTTACTCTCAACAACTTGTGAACCCCATCAACCCCCGCTTTTTTTTCTTAGTGGAATAGAGTAAAGTGATCAAATTTGCAACTTTTTAACTTTTTGTGACCACTGCAAGTGATGAAAGGATGCTCGGTACTTTTTTCTCCCTTTTTTTTTCTCCAGACATAAACCAGACAATCATAATGTACCTTGACTTATTTCCCAATTCCAAATACAAGATGCTAGAATGGTTTATAGAGCGATGAGCTGCAGCCACTTACAAGCAAAATAAATGAGTCTTTCTTCTAAAAAAACCTTCATGTAAAGTGGCAAATGCCATGAAAAAACCCCCAAAGTTGTTTTAATTCAATGAAGAAAATACCACCTCAGTATATTTCATACCCTAAAAGGAAAGACAATTATATATACAAGATTACAAAACTTATTTGGTGAGCACCACAAATGAGGCCAGTGAGCAGTTCAGACCATTATCTGATTTAATGAGAAATACTGTCTGATGCCACAGCTGGAGCTAAATATGACAGAAGTACTCTGTTAAGAGAACTCCATTCAAACCATACACAATGACACAGAGCTCCAAAGGGAGAAACAAAATATGAATAATATTGCTCTAAGGTATATCCAGACTAAGGAAAATCCGATGTTTATCTTTTCAGTCTCATCTTTCTCAGCAGGTTTTTGTGACTGGCAGCTTGTAGAAGTGAGCTCTCCCTGCCCAGTGTGAATGGCAATTCAACAGTTTCTGGTCTTTTTTTTTCCTGCATTTTGAATGTGAAAGGAATACGGAATTAAATTTGCTAGTGACAGTTTCAATAATAACATTTCCAGTAGAAAAAACCCCCCAAGTTTGGACAATTCCTTTGTACTCTTGACATTTTTACCTTGATTTGTTCTTCTTTGATGCTAGGTGTGTTCTTCAGCAGGTTTAAATAAACGCCCCCAGGTGTTCTTCTCCTGGTGCCATTCTTATCAGGGAGAGAGGAAATCAGAAACAGTAAGCTTAGTACTAAGTGTTGACAAAAAATAGCTTCTAGGGGAACACTTAATACTGTATTCAGACAGAATAAAGCAAATTTAAATTCTGATATTTTGGAATTACATAAAAATAACACTGTCTGTGTCTTATTTGTGACTGAACTAGTCATGAGAAAGCCAAAATTTGGACAGGTAAACTACAAAGTTACAAAAAAATTCCTTTAGGACATAATGCCAGATGGCTAAACTCCACATTAAATCTGATTTTGGTAGTAAAGAAACAAAATGTGAGTAATAGTCTCACTATTTGCAACAAGGTATACACACTAGGTTAAATATTCAGAGCATTCCTAACACATAAGCCCAGTAAAATATCAAAAGTTAATTTAATAAAATTATGTTGATCTCAAGTTTTTTAAAATTGTTCTCAACAATGCTACATCTTATCTGATGGTCCAAAGGATTTTGAGTTTCTGCCTAAGGCACATGAAACACAACAGGTACTTAAAAATTTCTCCCCACCACATATTAGTTCCAAGCAGCTTTTCAGTTTAACAGCAGGGGTGCAATGTGCTCTAATAAACCACGGAATGGGCTCAGCTTTGAAACCTCTGTAAATTATAAGTGCTAATTATCATACTATTATTCAATTACAACTTTTTAGTATAAAGTTGAACCTTTATTCCAGTAAAACCTGGATGACACTGTGTAAAATGTGATATTTTTCTGCAAAATAACAATGCAAAAAGCAATCTAAAAATTCTAAGAACAGAGAAGGTCAATTTTTAAATAGGTTCTTAAAACAGCAGATGCCACATCCTTTTATCATCTGCATTTCATGATGTCTCTTATGATCTGCCTTTCGAAGAGTGTACTCTGATCTGCATCCAAAGGAACGTGAGCCACCAGGAGCTGTGTCCTTTCATCTTCTCTGTAAACACTTACTAACAAGTACTTACTCTTTCAAGACAACAGAATAGCTTCTAACACAATTTGCTAGGTGGAATTTGTTGCCCTTTTTTTTTAGAGGAGGAGGTGATGGTATTCTTTAGTTTGTTTAGCTTTTTTTGTGTCCCCCCTACTCACTTTTACCCTCCTCTCTACTTTCAGTGACAGAACTTAAAAGCTGGAAATTGTAAACAAATGTCTGAAAGTATTTACTAGATCTCACCCACTTTTTTCCTTCTTTGCATCTGCACTGAAGCTCATTATTTAACAAGAACAAAACCACACCAAGAAATTGATAACCTAACCACTGAGTACAGGATTTTCTACCATGATTTGTTACAGAAATCAGTACTCAGTGTATTGGTACTGTTGAACAGGCCAACAGTTCTCTAATAAAGGCAACAGTTTCCATTCCAGAGAGGGAGCTTCAAATCAGATACCATTCTCAGCACAAAAATTGGGTGATTTCCAGGTTCACTCACCTTATTGTTTACTCAAAACCTACTGTAAGATTACATTAGGGTATATTGAGGGAGTTTCATGGCAAGGGAAGGCCATAAAATTCTGGGAGCACCTGTCCACAGTGAGAGAGCTATAACAGCATTGTGTAAATATTCTACAAGTAAACAGTTGTGTTGGCCCCCTGCCCTCTGGCAAACCCCAAAAGTGAAATGTTTCTTACCACTATGAACAGCCCACCATTTTGCTCCACTTCAGCTGTTTCCATAAGCAGCTCAATCGCTTTTCTCTTCCCAATTATTTTCACCACTCGAGCAATTAAGTCTTTCTTTGGTTCACAAAGTCTGAACAGAGGAGGGGAAAAAAAAAGGCATATTTATTGTCAGGATAATTTCTTTGTAAAAACTGACTGTGGAACTTCCACAATGAATAATTCACTCTGTGGGGCATAAAAATGTGCTCAAGTCTCTATACATTCAAATGTGTTTCAGTGGTTTATTAAATCAGATATTGATTGAATCAGATATTGAATCAGAACACTGAGCTTCTGAAGGATTTTTTCCCTAAAGCATGCATTTTTAAAACTTGTTTCAATGGAAATACATCGAGTGATTATTCTTCTACCGATGCATGAAACAGTGAACCAAATATGAAACTGCAAAGAGCTGTGCAAACCTCTGAAATTAAAGTATAAAAGCATGTTGAGCATTTAATAGTTAAAATTAACTTTTATAGTTAAATCAACAACTGGAGAAAACAGGAAGTATAAATTTGCCCTGTATCATGTGCCATTCAGACAAGCCTACATAACAATCAGTCTGTTGACTGATCTATGATAACTTATAAAGAGCAATAAGAAGAAAATTACACTGTAACTACAACACTACCGATACAGTGCGATTGCTCCAAACCATTAAAAAAAAAGAGCTTTCTATCCTATTTCAACGAATCTCAGTACAGTAAAGAGGAGCTTATTATAAGAGATATGCTCAAAGTTTCCAAATTAATAAATGAGAACCTAGCAAGAACTGTAAACAGCATTAATAATTGTCTAATTGCCATAGGAATGGTAGAATGGTAGCTGCTGAAATAAGTGCCACATGTATGAACACAACAATGGTTTTAAACCATTTAAAATCCAGGTTTTATTTAAATGTCACACTAACTATCAGTAAATCTTCCAAGTCTTGTTCCCTGTTTAACTGGATTTTTTTCCCTTTCATCACTGAAAAAGAATTGTGGCAGTTCAACTCAATCTAACCAATAGTGACCTGCAGCCACGTGCCCTTCCTCGCACCATCAATCCATTGCTGTCAGGAAATGGTGAAGGAAATTGGTTCAGGAAACAAATCTGTTTGCAAACTAACTCTTCCAAAAAAAAAAAAAAATCATCAAGCTTTTGGACAGATAATTTTTCTGACCTGCTCAGTGTACAATAACCAAACAGCAGGACTGCGAAAAGGATTGGATGGTGGTAAGTGTGCTCGTGGCTGGAGCCTGGTGACCATAAATTAGCACAGAACTGCAGAAAGAGGCCAGGACTGATTTCAGTGCTGGTGCCTGACCGTGATGTAGCCCTTGGTTACAACAGCAGTAACAGGTTTTTTTCAGACAAGTATATTCTGTGTAGAGAACGTCTATTTTCAGAAGCTGTGCTTTCCAGAACACTGCACAGTCTGAGTTAAAGTTTTAAATCTACAGATTTAAAGGTTTATAACTTAGATAGAATTTCATGGTGACCACAGCACATGTGCATGGGTGTCCAACTCCAAACAAGCATCTTTGCTCATGGAGTATTTCCTAAAAAAAACGCCACTACTAAATTTATATAACAAGAGGAATATTTTTCCTTGTTACTCTTCTCACATAACAGACCATTTTCATGGATCCTTAAAGAAGATATAAAAATTAAAATAAATAGACATTATTAACTGGATGTTTTTACAAGATGCCAGCCACAGAGCTGCATTTTTATCCCAGGATTCTGGAAATACCCGTAAGGTACTCATGCCTTTTATAATCTAACGTAATATATGACATCTTACATATTTACCAGTAAGGCAGGTTTTCCCCTCTCTTCCATCAACTACCAATACTTAGGGAAGTGAAGACACACTGTTATCAAACTCACCGATAAGCAATTTCATCTGCCACTTTTTCCTCTGAATCTTCTTCTGTTATCTCATACCTTCCTTTATAATTCATTTCTTGCCTTTCACCTAGTCTATCTTTCATGGGGCGCTTCCTTTTGAGAAAGCCTTGCCCATTTTCCCCTTCTGCTGGCAATGTCTTCTTGTCATCATGCATGTATTCATCCAGTTCCTTATCCAAATTCTCTGCCTCCTTTTGCTGAGCTTCCTTCATCAGCTTTTTAGCCAACAGGTAGTTGTAAGTCTCAGACTGCCTGCTCCTGTCAATGCTGCCATCCATCCCGAGAATCCCAAGCTCAGTGGCTACTGCATCCTGATTCTGCTCCTGCAGCACCGCGCCCCAGATGTTGTTGATCTTCTTGCCACGTAGCGCAGTTTGTTTTTGGTGGCTCTGGCTGAGCTGGAAGGGCTCGGGTTTGGCAGGGGGGCAGTTGAAGCACTTCTGTCGCTTCCGTTTCCACAGGCAGCTGTCATCGTCGGAGTCTGAGCAGCTCTCCTCGCTGGAATCCACACTCTTGGTTGTCCGATAGGGAACACTCGGTGCACAGGATGAGATGCTGCTCTGGAATGGCCTGCACGGATCACTGCCATCATGTGATTTCTGAAATTTTAAAACCATATTTCCATTAGTTTAAACATTTGTGTAAATCAGAAGAGCTATCAAGTTATAGCAAAGGTTTGACTAGCTAAAACCCCCTGAATTCTGACTCCTGTGGCTGTGCAGTCCTCTGCGAGCAGCTGCTGGACCACAGCTGACAGGAGCATCCTGTGGAACTCCTGTGTTTTGAATGTATGGATATCAATATGAAAGAGAGCATGGCTGACACAGAAACATGTGACAGGAGTTGCTAATCTGCTTAGTGCAAACTTTGCTGAATGAAAATTATTATGAGACTGGAAAAGCCATGAATATTCCCAAACTGGGCCAAGACACAACTGCACGGCAGCTCTAAGAAAGAGTGAAAAAACAAAACACCACAGCAACCAACCAGAAGTTTAACAGCAGAGAAGTTAATACTCTCTCTGGAGTCTCAAGGGGGAACACCAAATAACCAGAACAGCCCAAAACCAAACCCAAAAACTGGGATATCTTTTGTGAATTTAACTGTGTACTGTGAACCTGGTTCCACCAGGACAGCACAAAACCAACTGGGGAAAGCAGCACCTTACAGAACCACAGATTTTTTTCTTCTTTAAACCAACAATACACTGTAGTTTAAGGATCGTTAATTAGGACAAACATGTCCCCCCCTCCCAAATCATCCCACTGATACACTGTATTCAAGAAATATTATTTCCTATCAGATAAACTAAATGATGAAAGCTAAACCTGTTGAAATCAGCACAATTTGCAAAAACACCATGGGTAACATAACCCTGAATTCTTATTCACAACTGCTGGAATTTTAGGCCATGTGTTTTGTGCTAAACACTTTCCTTATACGTAATTCCACCTATTCCCTAACTAATTTCCCATCACAAAATTATATGCTGTCGTACGTTCTCTAAAAAAATAAGATCTCTTCCTTCATTTTCAGGTGAAAATTCTTTAACCTTACTGCTTTCATCAACATTACGGCACCATTTCTTCTTCCTCCTATTAGCAAACAGAAAACAGAAGTATTCAACTTATTTTTATCATCATGTTATGGAACAGAAACCTTTAACTTCAAATGTAATGCAAAAATGCCTAATACCACCAGAAATCAAAAAAAAACCAAACGCTTCTGTAACAACTTCTTTTGTGCTTCAGATCTCAAAAGTATATTGCAAATAAAACAACTGAAGAAAATAAAGTTCCTTATACATACAGTGTCGCACACTGATCTGTCTTATTTCGAAATCCTTCTCTGCCTGCACACTACCACAAATACTCTCTGAACAAATTCCTCATATCCTCACAGAATCACAAAATGGTTTGGGTTAGAAGGGATCTTAAAGACCAGTTTGTTCCAAAACCCCTGCCATGGGCAGGGACACCTTCCACTAACACAGGTTGCTCCAAGCTGTGTCCAACGTGGCCTTGGATACTTCCAGGCTTGGGGCAGCCACAGCTTCTCTCGGAAACCTAGGGCCTCACCACCCTTACAGGCAAGAATTTCTTCCTAATATCTCATCTAAACCTATTCCCTGTCAGTTTGAAGCCATTCCCCTTGTCCTGTCACTCCATGTCCTTGTGAACAGTCTCTCTCCATCTTTCTTGTAGCCCCTTCAGGCACCGGAAAGCCGTAATTAGGTCACCCCAGAGCCTTTTGTTTTCCAGGTTGAACAACCCCAATTTTCCCATACTTTCCTCACACCAGAGCTGCTCCATCCCTCTGATCATCTTAGTGCCTCCTTTGGACTCTCTCCAGCATCTCCACGTCGCGCTGGAGACCCCTCGAGCTAGATACAGCGATCCACGTGGGGAGCACACAACACGAAAACGACTGGAGACACCAGGAAAACTAAGGAATCCCTTCAGCTACCTCTGTCTGAAGTCAAAAGGATGCCGGGGGTCTGCAGGGGCCGGGGTTGCGGCGCTCGGGGCTCCCAGGGGTGAGCCCAGCGGCTCGTCCCCATTGTCCCTCCGCCTGCCGCCCCAGCGCCTTCCCGGCAACGCACCGGCTGCCCCAGCCTGCTCCCGGCCCAGCAAAAGCGCTCCCAAACGGGAAAACCCCCGTCCCTGCCCGGCGCCCGCGGCCTCCCCATCCGGCAGGCCCTGTCCCGGCTTTTCCCTGCCCAGTGCATCCCGGGGCGGCGCTCCCGGAGTGCTCCCGCGGCCGCCGCTCCGCCGCGCTCACCTGCCCTGGGGAGCCGGCGCCGGGCATGTCCGAGTCCGAGCCGGACAGCTCTCCGTCCTCCACGTCGCCGTCCATACCCCGCGGCTCCAGCGCCATGTCCCGGCGGAAGGGCGGAGCGCGGCGGCGGGCGGGCCTGACGTCCGTCCGGGGCGGAGATGAGATGAGATGAGCCGACATGGTCCGGGTGTTTGTTATCCCGGCTGCGGCCCGTCCGCCCCCTTCGCTGGAGCTGTTCGTGGGGGAGAGGCCCTCGGGAGATGGAGGCCCAGGAGAGCGGCTTCTGGGGGCCCGCGTTCCTCGGCACGAATGTTGCGAAATGTGGGATATATATGAAGGTTGTCTTAAGTCAGGGTGTTTTTGATGTGAGTTCTTTGTATGCTTTCAAAGCCCGATCAGCAAGAAAGGACACCTCATCGTGGTACGGGCAGCAGCTGCATCCCTCAGTCACAGGATCACAGAATATGACGAGTTGGAAGGGACCCACAAGGATCATCGAGTCCAACCCTTATTCCTGCACAGGACCATCTGCAAAAAACACAGCATGTGCCCAGGAGTATCATCCAAATGCTCCATGAGCTCTGTTAGCCTTGGTGCTGTGATTGCTGCTCTGGAGAGCCTGTTCAGTGCCCAGTCACCTTCTGGGGGAAGAAAATTTTCCTGATATCCAACCTAACCCTCCCGTGACACAACTTCAGGCCATTCCCTTGGGTCCTGTCCGAGGTCCCCACAGAGCAGAGATCAGTGCCTGCTCCTCCTCTTCCCCTCCCAAGGAAGCTGTAATGTAACTGCAGTGAGGTCTCCCCTCAGTCTTCTCCTGCTGAACACACCAAGTGTCCTCATCTGCTCCTCACACAGCTTCCCCTTAAGGCCCCATCTTCACTGTCCTCCTTTGGACACTTGATAATGGCTTAATATATTTCTTATATTGTGGTGCCCAAAACTGCCCCAATATTGCAGGTGAGGCCATCCCATGTCAGAGCAGAGTGGGACAATCCCCTCCCTGGCCCAGCCAGCAATGATTTGTACACAGTAATATACAATCCTCAGCCTTTTGGCATTGTGATACATAAAAGGACAGACACCAGTTTGTGGATTGAACACAACCAGCTCTCCAATCTTCCAATTACTCTCCAGCTCTCCAATCTTCCAATTCCTCTCCCACCTCAAAGCTGTTGCCACTCAGCAATAGATCACCCACATGACCTCTGCAATATCAGGAAAGAGTAACTTCCTTTTGCCAAGGAAACATGAGAAGAATTTATCTTAATGGGGAGCCTATGTCAAACAGAGTACTACAATGAAGTTTTCCTTTTCCTGGAGCAAAGCCTCAGGGATCCATCCATCATATAGCAAGGAGTTCAACCACAGTAATTTTAAACACCTAGGTATAAGCATGTCTGTGTATCATCTTAGATATAAGCATGACTGTGTATCACCTACAGAAAGATCAAAGGGTGAGACAAAACTGAACAATTAAAGAATATGTGCCTTTTGAGAGATACCTCCTCATTCTGCACATTTGTATGGAGTAGGGAAGGAATTTTGACAGGAGCTCTTAAGTGCAAATGTGAGATCAGACTTAACAGGAGCAAAATCACTGAACCTCAGATGGCAATTCCTTATTTAAGAATTATTCTGGCATAAAGGCCACCCCAGTCTACAACAGTCTTCAACTGCCTATTCTGAAGATTAGTTGCTAAACTGCTTGTTGTTTTAAGGCAGTTAATGTTTCAGTATTGGTTCTGACAAAGATATATGGACATAACATTTTTCTAATAGCTGCTATAATGGCAGCCAACCCTGCAGCGTCTGCACATATCCACCTTTGTCAGAAGAGCTTTCTGATGTGTGCCTGTCACAGGAAGTGGAATGAACCAAGAAGGAAGGAGAGGCATCTAGTGGCCGATCTGTGCTGTTCTTTGCATCTCATGATAATGCTTCATAGAATTCCAGCACTTCACGTATGAACTATCACTTCTTTTAAACATTTTCTTGCTATTATGAATGAGAGCACATACAAAATATAGTGGATATTTTTCTTCTCAACTGTCAATCAGAACTGTTTGAAAAGGACATGAGATTTTTATTTTTCTTCCCTAGCTCTATAGCAGTTCTTTGCATTTGTTTTTCAGAACACATAGATCATGTTGCAAAGGATCAATTGTATTGGATCAACTGTGAAAGCATTTTCAGAAATAAAACCACATGTGAAGTTCGGCATCTCATGGTCCAAAGGGCAGCTTCTGGAGCTGTAGGAATAAAGAGCAAACTGTCCTGAGCATCACTGGTTTGCATCCTTGGATCTGACAGAAAGCTTGCAGGTGTCACAGCTATTTTTGCCTGGTTTTAAAGATCTCCTCTGGTCATGTATTTTACTGTACATTGGTAGAAATGTTGTGAAGTAAATCTGTAGTAATACACATATCTGAAATAAAGTTAGAGACAAAGAAATAACCTCTTCAACAGAGATGTTTCTGAAGGACTGCTGGGAACTGGTCAATTCCTACGTTTCTTTGGCATTACACTGATTCTCTTTTGGTGCTGTGAAGTACTTTAATACTAATGAATACATTACTGACTACTGTTAGCTGCTTAATATTTTTCTATCCAGTAAAATGAAAAGCAAACGGTTGTAGTCACAACTGTTGCGATGTGCATTCAGACTATTCAATTTTCCCCCTCCACAAATGTTCATACACACACAGGGGAGAAACACATACAGACACATGCATCCTTAATATTAATTACTGATTGAGAAAAAGAAATATGCAAGCAGATATTTCACAGTTTTTCAGCACATATTAGCTGCTGGATAAATAAATTTTACTAAAAGATAAAACAGCATTGTGGATATTGCTCCTACTGGAAAAATCTTTATACATTTGACTCCAAGAAAACAAACACAGCTGTGATATTCCTGAGAAGAGATAAATCTTTATCTGAATCACAGCTAAGTATTTAAGCTTTTAGTGGCATATTCAGGAGATGCAGTTTTTCACTCTTGTTTTTAATAAACCCATTCAAGGAAACTGTTCTTCCTTCATGCATTTTAGATTATTTTACCTGAGGACTGCAAAGTATCTGTGCTGTATTGCCTTATTCTAAATTCCCTTTGTGGTCTGATTTTCAGTGCTTGGACCTTCACTGCAATGAAAATCATTGCAAGCCAGCTCTCATTATCCGCTAGCCATCCTCATTATCTATTACCCAGTGAGGCCTTTGAAATCACTACTTGATGTTTTTCTGCATCTTTAGATGGCTACTTTACTTAAAAATTTCACTCCTGGCCTTAAATTTCCCCTCGTCTACACTTGGAATAAAAATAGGCACGAAGTCTAAGAAAATCCAGAAAGAGTTAAAGCTCCTTCCCTATATTGCCATCATTATTAATCTGGTCCCTCATAGCACTTCTGTTGCAATGCTTCAGGATTATTCAAGAGATCTAGTGAAAATGAGATAAATCATAGTGTGCTTTCTTGTCCCTGTGTTGGCATCACCTCATTTCCCATTGAGCTTAAGGATGCATTTTTCATCATATTTGCAATTAATCTGTGGGATTCATCTGAATTACAAGGAGTTTCTGAAATGAAACTTAGTCTTAAAATGCGGCAGAAGGGAGATGTAACCTTCCAGTAGTTTGCATGAAGGAGTTCTCTATGTGAGCAAAGCTTGTACATGACAGTGGAAAAAACCCCAAAAGCCCCTCACAACTTCCAGTTTACACTTGGCAAGAAGAGTTGATTTAAGCACTTCCTAAAATATCTGGAAACAGACTCAAGAAGATAAATCAGATATCAGTACAATTTACTTTAAAAAAGCCACACCAAAAAAACCCAAAACCAAAACCAAACAAAAAACCCCACAAACACAAAACTCAACAAAACCAGCGCCACCAAAACACAAACAAACAAAAAACAAAACAAAAAGAACAACAAAAAAAAAATAGGCACCAATTTATTCACAGCCTCATATCTGGGTTTCCTATATGAATTTTCGGTATGGAGACATTTCTTCCCATCTCCATCTTTAATGCAGGTTCAGTGGTAAAGGGTATTTTGTTTTCCCAACTCACCACAGTAGGGACTGTAGGCAGGACCCTGGTAGAGAATCAACAGAGAAGTTCTTGTTTAAACATTAATCTCAGTCATAGTGCCCTTGATGTCCTATTTTGCACATCTTCAGTTTTCCTTTTCCCAAAACCAGCTAAGCTAACAAAGAAAGCTTTAGAAACACCCTTTGAAAGAGCATAATATCACCTTCAAAATATTGCCTCCAGTTATGCTCAAAACTCCTATGATCAAGTGGAACAAAGCACAGTCCTGCTTTCTGCAAACTGTAGCTGCTCTCTGTTTGTGTTACTGCAATCTCACGTGGCTGGAGCCTCATCAGTGTAGGATCAGATAAGGCTCAAAAGATGAGGCTTATAAGGCTCAAAAGATGGATCAAAAGATCCAGTTCTGATTGCAGAAAATTTATTCTGTGAAGTTGGAGTTTTACCGAGTTTGTAGCTAATACTTTTCATATCTATGGCAACAAAATGTGCAGTATTATTTAGACCAAGTTGAGTAAATTTGAGGCTGAATAAATTGTGGGAAATTACTCCTCCCCTGCTCCAGTGGATGGTTCCATACTTCTTGCAGCAATAATTGACTTTGTTTAGTCATTTTGTCCCTATTTACAGCCCATTGTTTGCCACTTACTGGCTGCGTAGATAGTGTCCACAAATTTCAGAAAATGATACTTAATTAGCTGATTTGTTTGTGAAATCCATTCTGTTTTCCTTGCCCTAATAAGCAAGTCAAACAGACGGAGAAAATTTCTTTCATGGCATATGTTTAATTAAAGCAACTGAAGTCATCATGGCTTCTTCACCTCACCATGAGTTGAATTCACAATAGAAAAGACTCCTCCAGGATTTTTTGGAAAGAATTCAGTTGTGGAGGTAAGACTATACAATCTGTTCAGCAGCACAGTATATCCCAGTCCAACACGATGTCCATTTGGAAAAGGATTCAGAAATACTTTTGCTCATTGGGATAGAGTTGAACCTCATGGAGGGGTGTAGTAACCTGATGCTTTTCGTCTGTGCTCCCAGTGC